TTTTCTGATATTATTTCTTCAAATAGGTTTTCTAAGTGTTGTTCCTCTTTCTGTTGTTCTGGCATCCCTATTATTCTTATGTTGTTTCGTTTCATGTTGTGCCATAGCTCCCTTAGGCTCTCCTCCTGTCTTTTAATTTTTTTCTCCAATTGCTGTTCAGTTTGTGTGTGTTTTGTTTCCCTGTCTTCTAATTCGCTAATTTGGTCCTCCGCTTCTCCCAGTCTACTGTTGAAACTTTCAGTGGTGTTTTTTATTGCAGCTATATCACTCTTCATTTCTTCTTGGTTCTTACATAATTTGTTGATTTTTTTTTCCATTTCCTTTTGCTTCCTGCATAAGTTGTTATTTTTTCCTCCATCCGATTTATGCATTCTAGGACCCTTAGTCTGAATTCTTTTTCTGTCATGCTGCATGCCTCGGTTTCACTTAGCTGCTTTTCTGGCGAGTCCTCCTTTTCTTTCCTTTGGGAGTTTTTTTGTCTACCCATGTTTGATCTCATGGACATATCTAGATGTTGAGTTGTTCAGGGGCTGCTCCTTGGTTGGCAGTGGCTCCTCGGGCTGTGGTTGCCCCTCTGGCGGTTGTGGGAGCAGCTGCTCCTCAGTTGGCAGGAGCTCCTGTGGTGCCTGCTGTTCACTGCTGTGGTGGCTTCTCTGGCTGGTAGGGGGAGACTTCACACACAGCTGCTGTTCCTCAGACAGAGGATGTGCTAATCACGAGGCTGCTGTTCCTTGGATGGTTCGGGCTACACACGCAGCTGCTACTCCTTGAACTGGGGCGGATTGGTCACGTGGCTGCTGATCCTTGATTGGGGGCTGGCTGCATGCTGCTGTTGTTCCTCTGATGTGGTGGGCTTCTTGTGGGGCTACTGCTCCTAGGATCGACTGCTGTTCGGACAGGTGCAGGCTGTTGTGGCTCTGCTCCTCGGACCAGTGCGTGCTGCGTAGAGCTGCCAGTCCTCGGATGTGGGAAGTCTGCTCGTGTGGTTGCTGTTCCTCGGACCAGCATGGGCTGCCGCTGCTCCTCGAATGGGGCTGGGCCACTTGCAGAACGGCTGCTCCTCGGATGGGGGCGGGCTTCTCACACAGCTGTGTTCTGCGGATTGGGCAGGCTGCTTGTGCGGCTGCTGCTGCTTGGACGAGGGCAAGATGCTTGTGCAGCTACTGCTCCTCGGACTAGTGCAGGGTGCGGGCTGTGCGCAGCTGCTGCTCCTCGGATGGGGGCGGGCTGCGCAGGGCTGCCTCTCCTCAAATGTAGGAAGACTGCTCATGCGGCTGCTGCTCCTGGGACATGTCAGACTGCTCATGTGGTTGCTGCTCTTCGGGCGGTGAAGCGGGCTGCTCACACAGCTGCTGCTCCTTGGACAGGGGCAGGCCACATGAGGCTGCTTCTCTTAGGCTCAAGGCAGGCTGCTCACGGGGCTGATGCTCCCTGGACAAGAGAGTTCCGCTCACTTGTCTGTTGCTCATGTCGTTGAAAAAATAATGTGAACAGAAGTAGAAAGTATAGGAACAAACAAAAAAAAGAACAAAGAAAGAAAAAAAAGCAACAAACAAAAAGAAGGGGAAAACAAAGAAAAAAGCAAAAAAAACTAACAAAATAATAAAAAAATAAAATTGAAATGTCATTCCTTTGGCTGGCTTAAAATCCCAGTTTTCTGGAATGTCTGTGATTCTTCTGATATTTTCAAAATCATTTTTTAAGAGTTTCAGAGAAATCAAAATTGTTTAATAAAATTAATACATTAATACATCTCTAATTTCAAAATTATTCTTTCTCCTCTTTTCAGAGCTCAATAAAGAGTGTCAGAGAAGACTCACAAGTGAACACGCTGCCCCCTAGTGACAAAGATTAAAGGTATGCTTTCCCCAACATTGTGTTCTTAGGCAAATCATTTATCATATTGCTGACTTTGTTAGCCAAAGGGCACTGTTCAGATGTTGAGGTCTGCCTTTAAGAAATTATTGAATTAATCAAAATTACTGACTGCCAAAAAAATCTTTTACATTTTGAAGTTATGATATGGCTACTGATTAGGAAAGGAATGAGAACATTAGAAAGGTCCCCTAATGAACTGACAAGAATTTAACAAATTTTTAAAATTTTTGTCTTTCTCTAATTTAGTTTCACAGACCTGTCTCATGAAGAACCAGGTGACTTTTGGTAACGACCTGTGCTGCCCAGCTTTTTTCTCATGTAACACAATGTAATAAATACAATTCTCAATAAAAAATTGTTTGTTTAATACAGGGTGGTTTCTTTTTCATCATTTCATTTGGTACTCTAGTGTATAAAATTAAAAATAATCAGAATTTCTCACACTTAGACCTTTCATTACACTAGAATGAGCTGTTACGTGTTTTTTCCCCTCATTTTTGTGTTAGATATTTCTTTGAAAATCATGTTATTGGTCAAATTTCAGGACTGCATTTTGGTAGTTTCTTCTGGGTTCCTTGCTCTCCAGAGTTGGGCTATTGCCTGTCAAACCAGAGGCCGTCTTCCCCAGCACCATCCTTCTGATTTGTCCCTCAAAAAAAGGACAAAGGTTTTTCATTCTAGGTGCCAGAAATAGCATAGTACATTGGGCTTTATTTCTGACATCTTTGTCTTGAGAATGAACCCAAACCCTGAGAAGAAAAGGTAACAGTTACTGAGCACTTACTGTGTGTCAGGTACTCTTTAAACCTGTACCTGTATTAACACACTTAATGCTCATATCAGCCATATGAAGTGTGACTGCCTGCATTTTATAGATTAGGGAACGTGGGACACAGAGGTTAGAGACTTGACCAAGGTCTTGTGACCATCCAGTTGTGCAACCAGGACCCAGGTGTCTAAACCAGCACAGCTGCCTCTAGCCTGGGCTGTGCTGGAGAAGCTCCTGTGGAAGACATCCCAAGACTGGGAATGGCTCAGCCCCTAGAAGCTCTTCCAGAATGGCCTTTAGAAAATGCACTTCACCCAAATCCAGCCTAACACAGGAAGGATTTATCTGGTGGTCAGTCCTTCCAGGAAAATCCTGGAGTGGATCATCTTCCTTTATAAATATAAGCTAAGCTGAATTGTTTTTGCCATTAATACTTGTCTGGCCCTTGAGTTCTACAACAAAATGATAAGGCTTTTTAGTGTTATTCTTTAGGCTTTAAGAAATTTATCTTTGAAGTACACTATTTTTAATCCTAGACAATATGTTTTTCGTTTCTTAGTTTTTTAATTTTAGAGACAGGGACAGAGAGAAACATCAATTGGTTGCCTCCCCTACCTGCCTGACCAGGGATCAAATCTGCAACCTGGGTATGTGCCCTGACAAGAAATCAAACCTGTGATCTTTTGGTGCACTCCAACCAACTGAGCCACACCAGCCAGGGCTATTGAAGAATATTTTGGAAAGTAATTGAAAGAATACAAGCACTATTTTCTTTGTCACACTTAGCATAAGCAAAACATTTACTCATATTGCCACCAAGAATTTGACATCTCTTGCAACAGCTCTTAGATAACATTATTTTTCTTCCAGCTTTATTGAGATAAAATTGACAGAAGATTGTGAGTTTAAGGTAAGGTATATAATGTGTTCATTTGGCACACTACTGCAAAATGTTTGCCACCATGGCATTCAATGACACCTGCATCATGTCATATAATTATCACATATTTGTGGTGAGAACATTTAAGACCTACTCTCATCAATATTCAGTTATACAACATAGCATTATAACTATAGTCACTATACCACATAATAGATTTCCCAATCTTACTCATTCCCTAACAGGGAGTATATGCTTTTTGGCCAACATCTCTTTTTCCCCACTACTCAGCCTCTGATAAACCCTTACTTTAGTCTTTTTATATGAGTTCTTTTTAAGATTCCACATATAGAGATTTAGCATTTGTCTCTGTAATTTATTTCACTTAGCATAAGAACCATCCATGTTGTTGCATATGCAAGGATTTCCATCTCTTCTCATGGCTGTGTTTCTAGGAATTTATCCAGGATGTTCAATTGTTGGCCTATAATTGTTCATAGTAGTCTCTTACACACACACATATTTTTCTCCATTCATCCTTTATAGACACTAGGCACTTAGGTTGTTTCTATATCTTGGCTATTGTGATTAATGCTGCATTATATCTGCTAACATTGGAGTGCAGTCTTCAGTATTCTGTTTTCATTTCCTTTTGATAATACCCAGAGGTGGAATTGCTGATCATATGGTAGTTCTATTTTAAATACTTTGAGGGACCTCCATATTGTTTTGCATAGTGGTTGCACCAATTTACATTCTTACCAAGAGTGCACAAGGGTTCCCCTTTTCTCCCTATTATCACCAACATTTGTCTTTTGTTTTCTTTTTATGATAGCCATCCTAAATGTGTGAGGTTATAGCTCATTGTGGTTTTGATTGTGCATTGCCCTGATTAGTGATTTTGAACACATTTTCATGTACCTGTTAGCGATTTGTATGTTATCATTGGAAAAACATCTTCAATTCTGCCTATTTTTTGGATTAATAGTTGTTTTTTGTTTATTTGTTTGTTTTGGCTTAGGTGCATTTTATTGGTTTTCTGTCAGAATCCTACAAAAGGGCAAAGTTAAAATCCAAGTTCCTAGTAAGGCAGTGAGAACCCTCCCCTTTGCCCAGAGCCCTCCACCCTTCTCATGTTCATGGAGGTGGAGATGGGGCTAATTCCATCCCACTTAGTGGGCTCCGTTAACGTCATAGATACCATACAAGTTTTACATTTGTCACAGACGTGTTAGAGACCCCAAAAGGGGAAAGACCTTCCCCCTAGCACACCCTGCCCCACAGCCCCACCCCCCACACGGTACTGGCTGCAGGAGCAGGTCAAGAACTGGTGCCATCCAGCAGGAGTTCTAACCCCAAGAAGGCCGCGGCCAGGTTATAATCCAGGAACATCCCGTCCTTCAGCAGCACTGCAGGGCCCAGCACCATCTCACTCCTGGAGGCCGGCTGTGTGCCATCTGGGCCAGGGAGAAGCCAAGGATGGGCAGGGAGGAGCCGAGGACGGGGCCATGTCCGGGAGCTGATGCAGGTAAATGCAGTCAGACTTGAAGGGGCAGCGGCCATTCCCCTGTGCAAAGTACCGGCATCGGATCTGGCTGGTCCGAGCCTTGAAGTTCCTGATGAGTTGCTCCTTCTTGGCCCCCTCGCTCACCCAGAATTTGTGGGGGATGATGTAGCTGGAATAGACAAGGCACTGGGGACAGGCCTTGATGACATTCAGTGGGAAGTGCTGACGGCTCTTACGCCAGGTGCGCAGGCAGCCCAGGCAGTGGGCGTGTGTGCAGTTGGGCAGGATGCCGAAGATCCGCTTGCCCTCAGACTTGTCCCACACCTTGTCCATGCAGATGCCACACACAACATCCCGGCTGCCCTGCTCCCTCTCAAGGTCCATGCTCTGAAGTGGGGCCCAGAGCTCCTGGACAGGGTCCGACTTAGGCTGAGACTTCTGGGAATAGCTGTGATCTCCCATCAGATGATGTCAACAGCAACTTCCAGGAACTACCACCAAGCTCCTCATTCCGGCTGGCCAGCCCCTCCAGGCCAGGCTCCGTGTCCCAGACGGCCTCAGCCCTTCCCCAACCCACAGCCACTGAGGGCAAGTAGGTGGGCTCGGAGCCCCTGCGGGTCAGCCCCAGTGGGGGTCCTGGCTGGGTGACAAGCGGCTCCGAATGGCGGCGGCCCCACTGCAAGTGGCCCGGGGGCTGCGGGTGCTGATAGCTGCACCAATCTCCATGGAAGCAGAATCCTCGCTGTGGAAGTACCTGCAGTCCTGGGACGCCTTCCTGTCTTGAGCAAAGTGGCAGCTGGACCCCTAGTGATGGGCCCCTCGGGTAAAGGTCCTGAATGGACACCGGGAGTGGGGTCTGTCCTCCCCACCATGGCTGCCGCCACCGCCATCCAGCCCTGCAGGGTCCATCCCAGCTGTAGCCCCTAGTGCCTGGATTAATTGTTTTTCATTTTGTTTTGCTGTTGAGTTGTATGAAAGGGACAGAATATATACTTTGGATATTAACTTCTTATCATATAATAGTAGATGAATTGTGAATACTTCCTCCCATCCTATCTAGTTTGCCTTTTTATTTTGTTGATGATTTTCTTTGCTGTGCAAAAGCTTACTTTGATGTAGTCCCACTTAACTGTTTTGGCTTTGTTAGCTTTGCTTTTGGTCTTAAACACCCCCCCGCCCCCCCCCAAAAAAAAATTGCCAGATCTGTTAAGGAGCTTGCTTATGTTTTGTTCTAGGAATTTTACTGTTTTAGGTCTTACATTCAAGTCTTTATTCCATTTGGAGTTGATTTCTGTATAGGGTGTAAGATAGCAGTCCAATTTTTATTCTTTTGCATGTGCCTACCCAACTTTCCCAATACAATTTGTTGAAGAGACTTCTTTCCTTATTGTACATTGTTGGCTGCTTTGTCATAACTTAATTGACCATATAAGCGTGGATTTAGTTCTAGGATCTCCATTTTGTTTCATTGATCTATGTATATTTTTATGCCAATACCATACTTTTGATTACTATATCTTTGTAACATATTTTGAAATCAGAAGTGTGATGCTTCCAATTATGTTCTTAACATCATTTTAGCTATTCAGGTTTTTGTTGTTTTGTGATTTCATACAAATTTTAGGATTTTTTTTCTATTGCTATAAAAAAATTACTTTGTAATTTTGATAGGTATTACACTGAATTTGTAGATCTCTTTGGGTAGTATGAACATCTTACCAGCATTCTTCCAGTTGAGCATAGAATATTTTCCATGTATTTGTGTCTATAGTTTCTTTTATTAGTGGCTTACAGTTTTCAATGTATAGATGTTTTATCTTTGTTAAATATACTCCTAAATATTTTATTATTTTTACTAGAGGCCCGGTACACAAAAATCTTGCATTGGGGGTTGGGGGTCCGACAGCCCAGCCTGCCCCTTCTTATAGTCCGGGAGCCCTAGTGGATGTCCTACTGACCCATTAGGGTAGCAGGCCTAAGCCACAGTCTGGCAGCAGAGGCTCGGAGCAGGCACCCCGTGTGTGTGTGTGTGTGTGTGTGTGTGTGTGTCAGTGTCCACTGGGGGCCTGCCCCCAGCCACACTGCTGAGGCTTGAAGCAGGCACCCCTCTGTGTTGATCTCTCAGGCTCCTGGCCATGGCTGCATGTTGTTTGCTCCCTTGATCGCA